TGTAAGGGGGGTATCTATGTTAAACATGGTATCTATGTAGGGGTGGAGTACCTATGTTACACATTGTATCTGTGTGTGTGTGTGTGTGTGTGTGTGTAAGGGGGGGTATCTTTGTTAAACATTGTATCGATGTAGGGGTGGAGTACCTATGTTACACATTGTATCTCTCTCTGTGTGTGTAAGGAGGGTATCTATGTTAAACATTGTATTATGTAGGGGTGGAGTACCTATGTTACACATTGTATCTGTGTAGGGGTTGAATATCCATGTTAAACACTGTATCTCAGTTGGATATGTCCGAAATAGCACTAGCATGCCCGTCACCATATGAGTGAAATACTCTTGAAACTCACCGCCTCTATCTTGTTTGCGAGTATTCTGTAACGCTACATTGTTGCGATCAAATCTAGCTCTGGACTTGAACGCAGCTATGACTTACGGCGACAAGATAGTGTAAACATCGTTATATCTTGATATGTTCATGAAGCGTTCGTCGGCCTAGATTAATGTATTGAAATACCACATCCATCCTCTATTGCCAAGCTTGTTTCAATACAAATTATTTTATGCGCTTGACTTTTATTTCTGATTCTCAATCTGTCGTAACAAATACCCAGAAAGGGATTATGCTGTAAAACGTCAACAGCATCATAACAATAGCAATCTGCACATGCGTCGCAATGTTTTAGGTTGTTTCTTATCTGACACTGTGTGCAAATGCATTCACCTCATTGGTTAAAGGAAACCTGAACGATCCGGATTTTCAAAGTGGAAACGCATTTACAACAACCGAACCGCCTCCATGCTTGAGTGACATGGATATGTTGTATATAAGTAGCGACACATTGCTAAAACAGCACTCATCTAACTAACAGTCGGAGGTTCACTTGCAACAATGTCGAAGAAAGGTGAGCAATATATATCATGTTATAATAATACGTGTGGGTACATACAAATATTATGCGACAAAAACATTAAGAAATGTATAGTTACTAAAAGCAGAGTACAGGGTACAATTTCAATAATATCAAGCGTGTGTTTGCGAAAAGCTGGGACCAAATGTGATTTGCGGCGCTTGTAATTGTGATATTTGTTTTAGATCGCGTTGTATTCATTTAAGGCAATATGTACATGGATATAAAGCAAGTGTTTTTTAAAGCCTCAATTAGCTAGTTTAGTGCAGTAAATGTATATCCACATTTACGTTATGTCTTCCAATTCTCTCAAATCAGGGGGTGGTCGGGTAGCCTAGTGGTTAAAGCGTTCGCTCGTCACGCCGAAGACCCGGGTTCGATTCCCGACATGGGTACAATGTGTGAAGCCCATTTCTGGTGTCCCCCGCCGTGATATTGCTGGAATATTGCTAAAAGCGGCGTAAAACCATATTCACTCATTCGCTCTTAAATCAGGATGTTTTCAATAGAAATTCTATAACGTGGGACAATACAGTAATTGGGTGGAATGAGAATATGTACTCGTTTATGTAATTAGCGATCTCATAGCCAGTATATCCAACTAACATTGACTGACATATCGCCATGCATGGTGTGCTGTCGGAAAGCTTTGTTAATGAAGAATGTTTCTGTATACGAGCGTTTCAATAACGTATCATGCACGTGCAATGGATATTTGTTATTTGAAGGATTTATGGAGCGTTTGGAGAATGGCGGCGACGTCATCATGGCAGAAGGCTTCGTGTTTGAGTTTGAGAGAAGGGGCTATCTACGCGCAGGGCCGTTTGTTCCAGAGGTGGTTCTGGATTATCCACACCTTGTCAGAAGTCTGAGTGAGGAGTTTGTCCACGCTGGAAGTGAAGTCGTCCTGGCGTTTACCGTAAGTTAACCTTCTGAATTATTTAGCAGGTAATTATACACACCTGTTATTAACAATAATGAGTGTGCCATATGTCGTACACGGGGCTAGATAATTAATAAATCACAAATGGATTCCTGGGCTTTCCAATTTTCAAGTCGTCGAACCACTTTGCAAATAAAAGGCTGTCAATGAATAATGAGTGTGCCATATGTCGTACACGGGGCTAGATAATTAATAAATCACAAATGGATTCCTGGGCTTTCCAATTTTCAAGTCGTCGAACCACATTGCAAATAAAAGGCTGTCAATGAATATTGACCATTTTCATTATCTTTCACAATTTCACAAATGGAAGGCCATTAAAAAATGATACCAGTTTCCAATGCAAGACACTAGATAAGCATCATGTATATTTCTCAATCACTGTTGATCCCAGTATTATGGCCACCGGGAGAAGCTGAGGCTGATCGGGAAGGAACATCTTCTGGAGAAACTCAACAAGGATGCTCTGAAGATTGCGAAAGAAGTGGCTGACGAGTCCGGGACGCTGATGGCGGGGAACATCTGCAACACCACTAGATATAGGAAAGATAGCCAAGAACACATTGAGCAGACCGAAGCAATATTTAAGGTTTGTGGAAAACGTATTCCCAGTGTCACCTTAGTGTCATTTTAGAATGATACAGGAATCCGTACCTTTTTTTTAAATCTCTCTATATGGTTTATTACATTCTACTCAAATATACCACAGTATCGCGTCATGAGATTGTGTTCAAGACTACTAAATCATTGACATTACTCACACGACCATTATCAATTTGAATTCGTGGTCAATTAAGTTTTCTTGGCATATTCTAGTTGACGGCAGCCTGTAAATAGCCTGTCTTGGCAAAACTAAATAATAAAATGGTAGCCTAGTGGTTAAAGCGTTCGCTCGTCACGCCGATACCCGAGATGGGTACAATGTGTGGAGCCCATTTCTGGTGTCCCCCGCCGTGATATTGGTGGAATATTGCTAAAAGCGGCGTAAAACCATACTCACTCACTTTCTCACCATTAAAAAACTTGCATCGGCGTAAGCCAAAATCAAAGTCCCTGTTAGTCGCCTCTTACGACTAACATAGTTGCTGAGGACACATTGTAGCCCGGAATCCCCACGGGTGTGAAGAGGTTCTGACTACCGTGCTGAATCGTTCCATCTGTTTTCTTGATCATTACAGACCGCCTCCGTGGTCTAGTGGTAGAGCGTCCGCCCGGAGAGCGGAAGGTCCTGGGTTCGATCCCCGGTCGCGTCATACCAAAATACGCATTAAGAGGCTAAAACAAGGACTCGGGGTATTCACGTTAAACTGCGGCATGGTATTTTAATGGGCTAGCACTATATTTCGGCATCGGTCCGGACAAGAACACACGCACATGCATTTCTCGTCACTATACAGGTGCAATAATCTTGGCCACGTCCTCTCACCTTGATCATTACAGGAGCAGATAGAGTGGGCGGTGGAGTACGATGCTGACCTGATACTGGCTGAAACATTTGTTGAACTTGGGGAAGCCAAGCTTGCTCTTGAGTGCATCCAGAAGTATGGACAAGGTACGGCTGAAACATAATTCTTTTGTATTTCAAAAACATATCTCCATCCTATCGCGTGAATATATATTTTTTTCTTTTATGTCCTTTGGGGGACACGTAATAAACCTTATATATCAGTCAGTATCTAAATAGCTTTTCAGTTATTGTAATGGAATTTGCCATTTGTATGTTTCCCGAATCACATAATATTGATTCAATGTAATTTAGAGGCGGTCGGGTAGCCTTGTGGTTAAAGCGTTCGCTCGTCACGCCGAAGACCCGGGTCCAATTCCCGAAATGGGTACAATGTGTGAAGCCCATTTCTGGTGTCCCCCGCCGTGATGTTGCTGGAATATTGCTAAAAGCGGCGTAAAACCATATTCATTCACTCACTCACTCACAATCTTTCACATTGCAGGCAAACCGTCCGTTGTGAACATTAACCCTATCGCCGCCGACAAGACTCTTGATGGTATACCCTACGCCGAAGCCTGCCGCCAGCTGGAAGCTGCTGGGGCCAACGTTGTAGGCTACAACTGTTGTCGCGGACCCGCTACTACCATCCCGCTGATCCGGGAGCTGAGAAAGACTTGCAAGGTAAACACACACAGCTTCAAGAAGGAGAAGGGAGTGAGTGAGTGGGTTGGGTTTAACGCCGCTAACAGTTGTACCACGGCGTGTCAGCTTAATGTGGGAGGAAAGCCCGAAGTGATGCAGGTCTCAGACGTTTACCACTTTGGTGAAACCCACGAGCACGGGTATGGTGCTGATAAACCTAGAAACATAATCGGGGCGAACCGTGATTCGAACCTACAATCATAGGTTGCTGGCGTGCCCAAGGGACGCAACTCTGCACAGCGAATCCTCTTACAGGTCGATAGAAAACGTTTTCACATGATGGGGATATCATTATCAGCGAAAGGTTTACGTACTGTATACTAAATACATTAAACAACATTTGTTGAGCCAATCGCTGTCCAGTGTTTTAATTACAGCACATCATTTTAATGAACTGTATAACCATGTAAGGCTGCACATGAAGAACATTACGGGTGGGTTCCTGACAAATGTTTTTGTTTTGTTCAGGGTCCGATAGCTGCCTTCCCTGTTCCCTACAGAACATCACCTGAGTTCCCCACAATGCAGTCGCTTATTGACCCGTATACAGGTAGGTGCAGTCCACGCCGTCCAACATGAGTGAGTTAGAGAGTATGGTTTTACGCCGCTTTTAGCAATATTCCAGCAATATCAGCAGAAATGGGCTTCACACATTGTACCCATGTCGGGAATCGAACTCCGGTCTTCGGCGTGACGAGCGAACGCTTTAACTACTAGGCTACCCGACCGCCCCCGGTCCAACATGAATGCACGTGTGTGTGTGTGTGTGTGTGTGTGTGTCTTTGTCTGTCTGTTTGTGTGTATGTGTGTGCGTGCGTGCGTATGTGTGTCTGTGTCTCTATGTGTGTGTGCTAACTCTCGTTATCAAAGTGGTAAACTATCATTATCAAAGTGGTAAACTCTAGTTGTCAAAGTGGTTAACTCTCGTTATCAAAGTGGTAAACTCTAGTTGTCAAAGTGGTTAACTCTCGTTATCAAAGTGGTAAACTATCATTATCAAAGTGGTAAACTCTCGTTATCAAAGTGGAAAACCATCGTCATCAGACAATGAAACAACCAAGCTTCTGATTGTTTTGCTTCCGGTATTGTTGCGGGTCTATACCCCCAACTACTCCATCATTAGTCTGACACGCGGTCATATAACTGAACTACTATTCACATCAGAGTTAATCCCAAATCACTCACTCACTCACTCACTCACCCATTCACTCACTCACTCATTGTCCAATTTGCAGGCAAGAGGGCCTTCCCAGACCTCTCTTCCCAACTGTGTGGGGTAGCGGAGGTGACGGATTTCGCCAAAGAATGCAAAGAAATCGGTGTCCAGTTTGTCGGCCTCTGTTGCGGAAACACGCCGGCGATGACAAGAGCCGTCGCCGAGGCCTACGGTCGTCGTCCACCTGCCTCCATCTTCTCTCCAAACATGGAGAAACATTTCATCTTCGGAAAGGACAAATACTTCTCCGACAACTTCTACCTGACCCAGCTTAGAGAGGGCATGTCGAAAACCAAGTGATCTGACATGGTCAGACAAACTCTTGACTCACATTTTAAAAGCTGTTATGTATCAGCTGTTGTGAACATTAATTTGCACATAAAGTATTATATTCCAGATACCAAGTATCTATCAATCCTGCTTGTAGCTAGTTTGTAGCTAGTAAATACCTCATTTAGACGCCAATAGCCTTGCCTTTTCGAAGTCAGGTTTCTTAGTTTGTGAGATAATGGTATGTATTGTGCTGTATTGTCCACTCAGGAGATGATACGATTTCACGCAATATTTCAAAATGTTGTTTTGTTGTATTCTCTCACATAAAATAGTATAATACTATAATAATTGTTTCCATTTTGATTTAAGTTATTTCATTTTGTTCACACCACCCCAATTGAAATGCGTAACTTATAGGTGAGGTGAAATTGGGTTTAAGATTATTGCACTTATATAGCGACGTGCATGCACGCGTATGTGTGTGTGTGGCTGCTTGTACTAGTCCGGACTGATGCCGATTTATAGTGCTAGCTCACTGAGATACCATGCCGCAGTTTAACATGAATACCCAACTCAGACACAGTATACTGACTCCGAGCCGACCAGTCCTTGTTTTAGCCCCTTATTGCCGAGCGCCAGACAGGGTAACAACAAGTACAATCTTTTAACGTTTTTTTGTATGACGCGGCCCGGGATCGAACCCTGGACCTTCCGCTCTCCGGGCGGACGCTCTACCACAAGACCACGGAGGCGGTCGCGTAACTTATAACTTCCAGGGGACAACTTTTGTTTGAGCACCAGCTGTAAGAATTTCTTATCCCAATTAGCGGGAGTATAGCTTGATAGAGGAGCTAATTACTCATAAAGTGGAAATCTAAGCTTCTGAACTCCCAATTTGAACAAATATATTTACTTACGCTGGACCGCCTCGTGGTCTGGTGGATAGAGCGCCTTCCCTGAGAGCGGAAGGTCAGTTGTTCGACCCCCGGCCGCGTCATACCAAACGACGTTAAAGGTTGTGTAATTTTACAATGTGTGGTGGTCACAGATAAAACAAGGTCTGGTCGGCACGGATAACCTTATTAGACTTGTCGGCTCGGTGTCAGTAGACTGTGTTTGTGTGGGGTATCCATGTTAGACTGCGGAGTGGTATCTCAGTGGAATAGTAATTAGTCCGTTTTAGTGCAAGTAGCCTCACACACGCACGCGCACGCACGCACGCACATAGGCACACACGTGACCTTTAACATCATTACAGATAGTGTTTCCGGCAGTTCTAAGGGATGCAACTCTGCACGACTGTTCGCCTTGATACGAAAGAATCAAGCACTATATTTCAAATCATGTATTTTGAATCGATATTGGTGACATACACGATTCACGCCACATCTCCACGGGATAGAGGGTACGGGTGTACCGGTGAGCTGAGGCACCCTTCTGACACAGTAGGTGATAGAGGAAGCACGGAAACTGATGCACATGCCATACAAAAATTAACACCATTCGTAGGATTGCCAGGTAACCGAATATATATAATATATATATATATATAATGTTGAAACTTTAGTTAGGATCTTTTTGTCTTCAAACCCTAAAACCATGAAGAATCTCGTGAGTTCGTGAGTGGGTGAGCCAGAGAGAGATAGAGAAGGAGGGAGTGAGAGAGATAGAGGGAGAGTGAGAGAGAGAGAGAGAGATAGAGCGAAAGAGAGAAATAGAGAGAGAAATAGAGAGAGAGCGATATAAGCGAGAGAGAGAGAGAGAGAGAGAGAGGGAGCGAAAGAGAAAAAGCGAGAGAGAACTAGAGAGAGAGAGAGCGATAGAGCGAGAGAGAGAACGATAGAGCGAAAGAAAGAAAGCGAGAGAGAAATAGAGAGAGAAAGAGAGAAAGCGAGAGAGAAATAGAGAGAGAGAGAGAGAGAGATTGAGCGAGAGAGAGATTGAACAATAGATAGAGCGAGAGAGAGAGAGAGAGAGAGAGAGAGAGAGAGAGAGAGAGAGAGAGAGAGAGAGAGAGATTGAGCGAGAGAGAGATTGTGAGAGAGAGATTGAGCAGGAGAGAGAGAGAGAGAGAGAGAGAGAGAGAGAGAGAGAGAGAGAGAGAGAGAGAGAGAGAGAGATTGAGCGAGAGAGAGATTGTGAGAGAGAGATTGAGCAGGAGAGAGATTGAGCAAGAGATAGAGCGAGAGAGAGAGAGAGAGAGAGAGAGAGAGAGAGAGAATTCAGTATTTCAGTAAAGACACGACGCGTCCGTTTGGTGTAGCACGTCTCTAGACGTTTACAATTTGGATGAAGCCCACGGGCACGGCTATGGCGCTGATAAACGTAATGAGAGCGGAATATGGGACCAAAACTCACGATAATATATATTTGGTACGTCTAAGGGACGCAGCTGAATTGGGTTTGAATTATTGGTGAAACTAATATCCGGCAGCTCATCATCTGTGTACACTATAAATGCAGGTGGGGTGAATATGTTGGATTAGAGGGGAAGACTGTCATTGTTAACTAGCGTATTTTATCAGGTTTCCTCAAGTGGGACACCCATAGATAGAATGTGAAGTAGGAATTTCCGCCGATCGAGGTTAAAAATATATTAAGCCATGTCCAACCAAAAACTGGTTTCACATATTGTACCCCCATGCTTGTGTGGATTCGAACCCAGGTCTCCGATATCTCAAGCGAAAGTGCTAACATCTAGAATTCCTCATTGCCCCGTTGCAAATGGGAAAGTGAATCTCCAGAACATATAACGTCACCAACTTTATTCTCAGAATTCGTAAGGTGCTGAAAAATCCTATTCTTCAAGCATACTTCAACAAGCTTTTCAAATAATGAACTTATATGTAGACCGCGAAAGCGAGTGAGTCTGCTTCAGCAGAATGATCAAATCAGTATATGAAGACCGTGAAAGTCAGTAACAATTTGGAGTGAGTCTGCTTTAGCAGAATGATCAAATCAGTATATGAAGACCGTGAAAGTCAGTAACAATTTGGAGTAAGTCTGCTTCAGCAGAATGATCAAATCAGTATATGAAGACCGTGAAAGTCAGTAACAATTTGGAGTGAGTCTGCTTTAGCAGAATGATCAAATCAGTATATGAAGACCGTGAAAGTCAGTAACAATTTGGAGTAAGTCTGCTTCAGCAGAATGATCAAATCAGTATATGAAGACCGTGAAAGTCAGTAACAGTTTGGAGTGAGTCTGCTTTAGCAGAATGATCAAATCAGTATATGAAGACCGTGAAAGTCAGTAACAATTTGGAGTAAGTCTGCTTCAGCAGAATGATCAAATCAGTATATGAAGACCGTGAAAGTCAGTAACAATTTGGAGTGAGTCTGCTTTAGCAGAATGATCAAAACAAAAGAAGTATTAGTGTTATTCCCCGACACGGCGCATTGTGCTGTGATTCAGATGGTATTAGTATGATACAAGGTAGTGTCTGTGTCACCGATAACACTAATACAATAGAGAATCCCCGTGTGGGTGGGGTGGGAGGTGGTTCGTAAGAGGCAACTTATAGGAACGGGCGATCTGGCTTGGTGATTTGGTTGGTGGTGTGTCATCCTACCTCGACTGCATGGGTCGTAGCTCACAATATTAATCACTGGATTGTCTTGTCCAGATTTGTTATTTTACAGACCGCAATCATATCGCTGGAATGTTGTTAAACAACATGCACACGCACACGCAAACGCACACGCACACGCACATAAATACGCACACACAACAGAGAAGTTGATAAAATGATTGATATAGTTTTATTCAAGGCGGAGGAATATATCTAAAAATGGACACAAATGTAAATATAGGAACACCCGACATATTTTACAGGAACATCAATGCAACAAGTTATACTCAAAGTATGAGGATATCATATTCTTATACAAGGATTTTCGAGACGCACACACCCCAAAATAAATGCTGACTTTGTTTTTGAAGACTTACAATTTACTGGTATTATAATAGGCTGGAGGTCGATTCCGTGTGCTTTCGAAAGATTTTATATTTTGTAAAACATATAATATAATTCACATTTGTGATAAACTGCTAAGCCATTGCATTTTATGTAGCGTATTTCTTCAAACTAACCTGATATTTTGAGTTCCTTAATCGTGAACATATACCTCTCTCCCAATATATCAGTTAACCCGAGAGTTAGTGTAGAGTTAGCCGCCAAAAATTTAACATCAATTTAGCGCACAATGGCATATCTTTAGGACAGGAAAAAATTGACGCCATAGGTACGTGACACATAATCGGTATATTGGTGGATGACTTAAGTATGCAAAGAATGCCTTATGATGTCTCCATGACGTATTGATGTTAGGTAAATGACGTCATTGTCATAACTATCAAACGTTATTAAATCTAGTCTCACGTAAAGCGCCTGTTTGTTGTTCGCTGTTGAGAAAGTGTTCCCCATATCTCATACACTTAGTACTCTGACAATACAAGCAGCAATCACGGTGAAAATGAATCCGGCTTTGTTAGACCCTATATCTGCAACATCAAATAGGAAATAGTGCAAGGAAATATAAAACAAGAACATTTGATTTAAAACGCAATTCAACCAGATCTCATGCCTTTTACGTTTGTTTGTTGGTTTGTTGTTTAACGCCACACTCGGCAATATTCCATCTATATCACGGCGTTTTTTAAATATTCGAGGATGGACCAGACAATTCAGTGACTGACATCATTAACACAATCTCACACTAGAGATTCACCCAAGTCAGTGAGCCTGACCACCTCATCCCGTTAGTCGCCTATTACGACAAGCATAGTCGCCTCTTAAAGCAAGCATGGGTTGCTGAAGACCTATTCTGGATCTACCTAACCTGGATCTTCACGGGTCTCATGAGGTTTATGATACAGTGTGCGTGTATGAAATATTGAGTTGATTGAGTAAATATGGTTTCAGGCCGCGTTTTGTAATATTCCAGCAATGGCGGTGGACACCAGAACTGGGCTTCACACATGGTGCCAATGTCGGGAATCGAGCCCGGGCTTTCGTTGTGACGAGCGAACGCTTTACCCACTAGGCCACCATACCGCCCCGTATGGAAATATAGTAATGCATGTGCTTAGAATTGTGATTATTTTGTTGGCAACGACTCCAGTCCAAAATGACATCGATATTATTTTGTGTTTCTCATCTTTATGTTTAGCGTCCGGTGGGAGAATGAAAAAAAGTTAAAAAGTCCAACTTATATATGTGTCATTTGTTGAGATATAAGTAAAAATGGCTTATAATTTGCATCCTCAATATTTTTAATTTGAACATTTTCCAAAATTCCTTTTGCTCATAAACTCAATGATCATTTATATTCTATTATCGTGGT